GGAGGCACAGGAGAGTGGTGTGTATACTTACCACCACAGCATCTTTGATCTAGCTATGAACTATCTCTGCACCTGCCACATACAAGAGTAATGCTAAATTCTAATCTCAGGAACAATTAATTAGTACATGAGACAGAGCTTGGAGTCTGTCTGACCTTGAATGTTTCCAGGGATGGGGCACCTTCCACTTCTCTGGGCAACCTGTGATGTAAGGTAACTAACATAAAATAGAAAAAACTTATAAAGCTAACCATTTGTGTAAAATAACAGGTGACTGAAAGATTGATTGCCTTATTGATCACTACAAAGTGTCTGAAGAAGAGCACATGCTTCTTTGATCTGCCATCTAAAACAACTAACAACCCTTATTTGGGAGAACAGTCATAAAAGTCAGAATTAACAAGCATCCTGCACTTATCAGTAGAAAAAGAGAAAGGAACTATTGAATAATAATAAAGACTAACACATACAGAGAAAACACAAAGTAACATCTCTCACAAAATTATCAGCAAAAAACACAACTAATGAGGAAGAGCAGATGTTCGCCAAGGACAAGAGCTGACCAAAACTAGCCCAAAGCTATAAACTTGCCAAATCACCACATTCCAGACGAAAGGTGAAAAGTACATTGTGAGGAGGACATACAGCCTTCCTCCCAGAGACCACCGCCCACCTCTTGAAGACCCGTGCCCACAATTACCAGGAGAAGCTGCGCAAGCGTAGAAGGACTGATAAGCTAATTATAATATGAAGTGAGGGTAGGCGGGGTTAGGTAATAAATATGTATAGGCGTCAATTAAATATGTAACGTTTTATTGCATAAATATGAAATAATTTGCCACTTCGGGCATGCACGTTTGTGGTGGAGCGATCCCCCGTGCATCTGCGTGCAGTAAACACACCTGCTGTAGAACCTTCGGGTTATAGAGTCTGTTTCCGCACATCCCCTGTGCCAGGGTTTCACCACCCTCACTGAAAATCTCTTCCTTACATCTGGGCTAAATCTCCCCTTTTCTTTTGAAACCGTCATCACCCCTTGTTCAGTCACAACAGGTCAGGGTAAAGATTGTCCCCGTCTTTCTTACGGTACGGAAAGGCAGCAGTGAGGCCTCCCTGGAGCCCTCTCTTTTCCAAGCTGAACCACCCCAGCCCTCTCAGCCCCTCTCCCCGGGAGAAGCGGAGGA